ACACACACACACACACACACACACACACACACACACACACACACACAATTCGTACACGAGGCGCTGCGTTCCCGACATACAAAGATTACGTATACCGCTCGCGCGCGCGTGTGTGTGAGTTTGCGGATTTACCGTCTAGCGTCGATCCAGGTGAATGAACGTCTCTCTACCTGTTCGTCTAATCTCTGACCGTGTACACACAATTATTGTTTACACCCGTCTCCCATGTGATGTTTATAAATATGATCTTATACGTTTATTTACGTTTTATTAATTACTGGAACTAATCCGTTTGCGACGACAATAACGCTACTAATATTGGCAAACAGTAGTTATCGATGTGTAATATTACATACATTTATAATATCGCTGTGTTTATCTCGTCATCATTGTTGTCTTCGAATACTGCTGTTCTCTCGATTCGCTCTCCGGAAATGATTAGGAAAACCCGTACTTTTCCCCCGTTAATGTCTCTGTCGCGTGATAATCGGAAAAGTGAAATCGCCGAAAATCAATACTACCGCGGGGAGATAACAAACTGAAATTACCTATATCGATTTACAAATAATTGATTTACCATGTTTATAGGACAAGAGTGGGATCCGTTTCGTAATCCTTGCGATCCTTAGACTAGTCTTATACTTAGTCTTTCTCCTTAGACTAGTCCGTGTGAAAGCATTATCTACTGCATTATTATTGAACAAAACATTATTTAAGCGTTGAAAAACGATTGAGCATTAATCAATTAGAGTAAACTGATAACTAACCTAAAATAATACATTAAAAAAGAACGTTATCTTAGATTTGTTGGTTGGTTTTTTCCGATATTTTAATTTTTAAGCGGGTAACTCGCTTAATAATTAAAAATCCCGAAATAAACCGACTAACGCAACACAGATTATTCCTTTATGTTTGATTATAGGTAAATTTAATATAATTTTAAAGCTAATAGTGGGTTTACACTAGGTCGACAAAACAGCAACATTCTGTTTCCCGACAAATTAGTCGGGAAACAATTTATGTGCTTTGTGATGAAACATTTCGCCGAAATTATCTAAATTGGCGACAGAATGTTCGTGTTTTTTAAAATATTTTGGTGTCCGCTCGAAAGCGATAAAAATCAAAGAATTTCTATTTTTTTCTTGTTTTCAGCAACTTTTGTCTTTTTGGTGTAAACAGGTATGGTGCGACAATTGATATTTTGTATTTTAAAATATAAATTTAGTATAATTATTAGGGCTAGGGACTTCATGCCCTTATAAACCTTAAAATATGTATGCATTTATGCCCTAAATAATCAATAAATATGCTATTAAAATATGCATTTATAAAAAATTAATTAGTAATAAATTATAATAATATTTTTATAGATATGATGATCTAAGATAATTTTTTCTTTTTTTCAAATTTGTTTTTATCTTATATTGAGTTTTTATCTAAAACAAAATATTTAAAATGGTTTTAAAAATAAATTAAATTGAAAACATTTTTTTTATTTTTAATATAGTTATAATTCTTCTAACCTTGAGCATTACATTAGACTATAAGATATTTTCTTAAGTTGGAAAATTTAAATGACTGCCTGTTATCAGCCAAAATATTTTTATATTTAGAAAAGGAACGTTACACGTCTACGGAACTTATTGGTGCAAACTTAAAAAATCGTAGGTCACTACTACTAATATCTGCAGACAATCCATCTATAGATTCATTTTTCCATTTAAAATATTCGATATTTTTTGTAGTTAGCCTTAGCTTGTGCAGATTCTTCAATTTTTGCAAAATGTATACGTTTTTTGTAGTTTTAATTATTTTAATGCATTCAGTTAGTTCATCAATAAGACATTTAGAGTTCCAAGTCGCGTGATATATGAAGAAATAATAAATCATAATTTTTTTTTATAAAATTTAAAAACTTACTTCTCCATGTGAATAATTGTCAAATTTGCATTTATAAAATGAAAAATGGTCAAATATGCACTTATAAATGAAAAATGGTCAAATATGTAAAATATGCAACTATAAATTTTAAATATTAACTTGTATTGCTATGAAACAAATTTATATATTACTTAGCTATGTTTTGTATAATTATTTAAAATCATGCAAGTTCCTAGAAGTCCCGAGCCCTAATAATTATATATAATATAACGTGAATATTTTGTCTCGTATATGTTTACAAATTGTTTCTTTTGGTGTATACGGAAAGTTGTTTTGTTGCCATTTCCAATTTGCCGCCGAATTAGAAAAATTAAGAAGTTGCTATTGTATTTTTGTTTTCTGTTTTGTTGGCCTAGTTTTGTTTACACCCGTCATAACATTACTTTAATTGAACTATTGAACACAAAATTTACTCTTAACGATAGATTATTCATTTGACGTGGAAAACCTAATTTAATTTTATAATCTCCATATCTGTTAGTATAATAAGTGAGAATGCACATCGCGTAAATGAGAGGTTTAATACCTATGTTCTACTATGTTACCATAAATGTATTTTGTAGGGAAAAGCATAGTGGATTTTTATAGTTATATTTTTTTTTAGTGACATTGTGCTCTGAATACACTAAATTATTGACTAATGATTTTATATTAATACTTAAATCACGAATAATACAATTTTTATACACTAGTTGTAATAAATCCAATAGGAAATTTACGTTATTATTTATAATAATAATAATAATATTATGTATGTACACAATATATTTATATATATATATATATATATATATATCAGTGGCGTATATAGGGGGGCCTAGTGGGCTACAGCCCCCCCGAAATGTTTCAAAAAAACAAAAAATTATTTTAAACGTTTGTTATATTTTATTGATGCTTTATTCTTATTTAGAATTTTTCTGACGGAAAATATAACCATGTTCTCGTGGTCTGTAATATTATTTTTATTTTTTTGATATTTATTTTTTTATTTTGACTACCCAGAAAATAAATGACAAAAACCATTTAGTAATATCAAGTATGCAAGAAGTTATACCTATAGGTTTGTTCGTTTTGTCAAAAAGTGTACTCTTTTACACAACAAGTGTACACCAAAGCGTTTATTTTGAAAAAGTGTAGTCTTACACGCTGTTTGTTTTAAAAAGTGTAACATTAGTGTATACTTTTTTTCACACTGACCCATGTGCAAATGTAGGCATAGCGTTTATAGTGTAGCGTTAATCGTTATCAAATTAGGCTTTATCAGCTAATAGTTTAATCTGCAACTTCAAATATATGTTGAAACACGACTCACCTAATACTAAATACCAAATACCGACCATTATAATCGTTTATAGTATTTGGACTCACGAATACTGTGGTTGAGTTATAAAAATAATAAAATATATATAATATATGATAATTTTGTATTATATTAATATTATATTTTATTATATTTATATATATTTAATCATAAATAATTGAGACAATCATCATCGTCGTCATCGTTTACATATATAGCTGCTGGGATTTTGATAGGATTCCACAGCTTTAACAATATTTCGTCATTGGAGGAGTCACAAAACTTCATCACGTGCAATTTTTGTATTTCTATTTCTATTAATATTATAATTATTAATTATTAATATTAAATATTATACAAAAAGTTTACTTAACTATTGTTCAATTCTACTACCAATAGAAATAAAGTATTATCAATTATCAAAATTGATAAAAAGATCAACTGATTAATCTACATCAAAACCGTTTGTTTCGAAGACTGGTATCATACCCCACTTCACCCAGACTCTACACTAATTAGTGTACAATTTTTTTCCTAAACGAACAAACCTATAGATTATAAATGGTATTTATAATCAATGGTAATAGCCTTGGATACTATTCAAGTTAAAGAGGTTTTAACACGAATGTATGAAACATGTAATATATGTTTCATATATTCTGTGAGTTTATTGTATGATTAGATGCTATTTTTAGATTAGTCAGTTTAAAATTACACATAGACCACAACACATGATAATACATGGAAAAATAATCAATTAAATAAATACATTTTTTATCTTAGATAATTTTTTAGATAAAATAAAATAACTTATCTAGATAAGATAAAAGATAATTAAATAATTTTCTAAATAAGTCTTAACATTGATAGCTACATATTAAATAACGGTCTTTAGTTTGTTTGTATAAATTGATAAAACATATTAAAATATGTTGTAGGTAGGTAAAATTGTAAAGTTTTAGTTATTGTTATTAATATTTTAAATAGAAGAAATAAAATGTAACATACATGTATATAAAATATATTTTTGATCATTGACAACCTTTTTTTTTTTTATCAATTGCAACATCCTAGAATAACTCGCAAGTCTATAAACTTTTAGTATACACTATTAGAAAATAGTATAGTATTATAGCTCTTGCATTTTTTATTTAAAAGGATTCTAGTATAATTACAATATCTCTATGTTAATTAAGAAGCATCTAATTTAATTTTTGGATATTGTTATAGTTTACACGTGTGCATAATGGCTTTAAATTTCAAGTGCAGCATAATCCATACTGGTTCATTTTAGAAACTTAGTGTTTAAGGTAATATAGTTTTATTCAAATTAAGTGTGCTCCCAATAAAATTGATTTATTTAAAAAAAAAAAACAAATTTTGTTTTAGTGGACGATTGAATGTTTCCATAAAAAATTTGTATTTTATGAATTTTATATTTTGTGTAATGATAGATAGATGTTTAGTTATAGTCACCTACTCTAAAACCCACATAAGCTGTGGTTGACAAAACTGATAATTCATTTAGAACAATAAAATTAATCTACTTTAATTACAATAAATTATCAAATATATGTTGCTTTTATCTGTATAGTAAAAGTATAGTTGTATTTTACTTAGTATTTACAATAGTAATTCTTTAATAAATTATATATGATTTTTATTTTAATAATAAATTATAAATAATTGGAACATGCCAAAAATGTATTACATAAACTAATATTTATAATAAATATATAGATGAATAATAAGTTAAATACTTTCAAATGTTTACATTAATTTATATTAAACATCATTTGAATGATGATATTTAATAAATATTACAGCAATTAATTTTTTATTTAATTCTTCCACAAGTATTGTACTGTTAAAAAGTATTGTTTTATAATTTCTGAAAATAAAAATTATAAATTACATATAAAATAATCTCTTACAAATACAATCAGATTTACTTTTCATTTAATAGTGTTTTTGGTGTGCTACTTAAAATTTGTTTTCTTGCATGAACTAATTCATCATTAAAATTTGGGATTGTTAAAATATTTTTGTGCAGTTCTTTTAGCACTTGACAGAGTATGGTGTAAACTGAAGGTACATTACGTTTTAATGGTAACGTTGAATTTAATAAGAATTCATGTAGGTATGGATGTGGTAAATAACTTAAAAAAATTAAAATATCTTTTATATGCCAGGTTATTGCCAAGTTCTGAAAAAAATGATTTACCTTTAAATAAATATATTTATATTATACTATGATGATAACTACTTGGTTTGGTATGTTATTGATTTTTTGGAAAATCATTCTTAAAAATGGGCCTTCATTAAAATCATTTAATTGAACTGTATCCAATGCTTCAGAAGGCCAATTAAATTTTTTGCATTTTATAAATATATCTTCATAAGTATTTTTTGTATTTGTTAAAAGATTTTTAAATGTATGTAATGGATCTGATTGAAGGTTTTGGGGAATCAATGCTAGCAATCTATAAATTTAAAAATAACAGTTATATTTTACTGTGCAATTTATTATTTTTTTAAATTAAAAAATATATTGACTTACCGATTAATTATTCTATCAATACTAGAAGGTGCAAGAGTTCGACTAGTGTTAGTATTTATATTATTTGATAGTAATTTTTTTTCCCTTTCATCTTCTTCGTCACTCCAAGATCCTGATGTATATCTTTCATAATAATTTCTATTATTAACAAAGCGTAAAACCATGAAGTCAAAAATGTCTTTATCAAAATTATTTAATACATCCTATAAAAGATAAAAAATTAACTAATAATTACATTAACAATAAATGTTATGAATAATTACCGTAAAAAAATTGAGTATATAAAGAACTAACAAATCATCATTGCTAGAAGATAATATAATTAAAATGTCTATAGGTGTTTGTTTGTTGTAATTAGGACAATCAAGCTCAGATCGTAACCAATTATTTATGGCTGAAAAAAATATTTTCACAAGTTTATAACTAACCTAATCAATAGGGCGCGGATTTTAATGTAATAAAAAGTCAAAATATGTAAATATTTATGTTCTTATTTTTTCCAAAATATGTATTAAAAAACGTGAAATATTAAACAAAAAAAAAATTGGTATTATACATTAACTTTTAATTACTAAATAATAATTATTCGTCTAATCATCTTCATTGTTGTCTTCTTCGAAAAAATTGGATTCAACGTACATTTGTAGATTTTCAAATTTGAATGTATGGTGATTAGGTTTCAAAATCAATTCGTAGCGACTGAAGGTGCATTCAACGTCAACCAATGGGGCATATTTTATACCACATAGTATGTGGTTAGTTAATATGGACATATTATATCGGATGGTGTTACTTCAATATCATTTGATATATTTTCATTTTTACTTATAAGAATATCTTGATGTCATTAAATGGTGCCTCTAATAATCGTAACAGTGCACTAGTATTCAATATAATTTTTCACTACAAGAACACAGATTCCTTTTATGGCATTTTCTTCTGACTTGTTAATTCAGACCGTAATAGAAATATCTTGAGACAATAAATACATTTAGCCATCCACCTAGCTTGGTGATATTTGCCGGGTTGACAATTTTTACCCCACTAGGTGGAGTTTCTCCAAGTTCAATAATTATAAGTTCAATAAACTTTTTGTAATCATCCCGAGGGTGATCTTCAGTGATTTTTTTTAAGCAAAATGACAAAACTTCTTCATGTTTTAACAAGATCATCTTTTTAAAATATATCTGTGTTCCAAACTAATATATTTATTTTATATAATTTTTTCCATGCATTTTTAAATCGTTTAAAAATTGCTATATCTAGTCCTGATGATACATGTAATTTTGCCTTGTTAAATGCAGCCTGGATAATCAAATCTGAAACATGATCTCCGGCATGCCAAGTATAAAATCGTTCCATTTAGTCTACCAGTGTTTGAAGTAGTTGTATCAAACACGAATCCTCAAACTTTGTCAAGTAATGCTCACTTTTCTAAGGAATCATGAACACCTGATGTTCATTACCTGATATTTCACCACCCATACTTGATGGAATTTGTGGAACACCAAGAAGCTGTTCTATGTTTGAAATTGAAACAATTACTGGAAAGCGATCAATGTTTTCTTGACCTGTTAAGTCTGGAATTAATTTTGTATCCCAATGTACAATAGCAATTATAATTAATAGATACAATAGATAATTTAAAACTGAACAGAAATTGAAACAAAACGTTGTCATGAATGTGTAACATACAACGATGGTCACAAATTAAGTAATACAATTGCACTAGTACACATAATGCTCATAATGATTAATCGAAATAATCAACGATTTGTAAATGTAAAAAATAAATGTCTAAAAATATTATTAACAAAATATATTCTATTATATTATGTCACCGATTAACTTTTTAAAACCACGAAAAAGATTAATATCTATGATTTGATAATCATTAATTTAATCACAATTATATTGATACGCCCGTAGGTATTTTATTACTTTTCTAGGAACATAATTGATTTACTTGTAATGTTGTGCATAACTTATTAATACAATATATTTTATTCTACAATTAAGATAATATATACTTTTATGGTAAATATTAGTTTTCAAATAAAACTCAAAAAACTAATTAATATGTTCAGCAATTTTTCAACCATCTTGAGGAATGGGAAGGAGATGAACTATTTCGACCGAATTTTACTTGAATTACTTTTTTGTAATATTAAATACGGGAGTCCAGTAAAAGAAATGTTGATATTTTTTTTTTATTTTATAACTAAGGACCACCCTTAGCGAGTATGAAGTTTAATTTACTTTTTATTTTAACTCTGGATTCTTTTTGAACTTCATTTAATTTGATTTCTGCATTTTTCACTATTGCAAGACTTTCAATTATTGTTAGATTTAATGATTCTAATTTTTTATTACTTTAACCAAGAAAAAAACTTTGTGAAAATATATGTTAAATGATTTTTCAGGTCATTATTTTACATAATATTAGAAACTTTTGTAATGACGATTGCAGTATCTGAATCAAAATTTGAAATAACTTCTTTAATTGAATTCCAATATAATAATTTAAATATATAAAAAAAAAACTATAGGGATGAAAATGTGAAATTTTTATAAATATGTATTTACCTCAATATATGTGAAAATATATAAAATAAAAAAGGTCACATATTATTCAGGGTGTTATGAAACCTGCTTATTTATTAATCGGAATTGAGAAATGCACGTTCAATAAAATTATGTATTTACAAAAAAATCCACGCCCTACTAATATAAATATTATAATAATTTTATAAAAGAATAAAAACAATATATTTTAACTCTGTTAAATTAATAATACATACTGTAATTTAACGGTGTACCAACAGCTGCTTTATAAATTTTTTTTAATAAAAAAACACTGGAAGGTGAAATTTCTTCTGTAGTATCAAATATTTTATTCAAAAATAAAAATCTCAATGTATCACAAAAATAACATGTAATTTTGAACTGACCATTTTTGATTACCTTGAATAAAAAAAAATTATAAACTGTGATTTATTTTAAATAATATTATTTTTAATTTAAAAATATACCTCAATAACGAAATTCAAAAAACAAAAGAATTTTGTAACATCATTTGAATAAGTGGCATTGTAATCATCCCTTGAAAAATATTAAATAATTGTTAATGCATATAAAAATTATTTGTATTAGTACTTAGATGTTTCAATTTAATAAACATTATTTTTCACCTCCAATTTAATTCAATTTCTTCTAGCCCGTTGTAGTCTAATGTTGCTGGTAGTATACTAAACAGATTTCTTAAATGTGTGCTTAGTGTTACACATAAATTGGTGTTTTTAATTATTGAATTTATTACATTTTCATCATTTAATTTAGTCAGCATTAATATGCAATCACAACATTTAATGTACACTTCTGTGTCCTACAAAATAATTATATTTTAAAACAATATATCAATAAATTAACACTATTATTTTATATCAATAATTTTTTCAAAAAGCATCAAACTTTTGTATTGATGTAAGATAGAACACAATCCAAGATATTTATCCTATCTGATGTACGTAGGTTACTGGTTATTTCTGATTCCTTATTATGAATAATTTCAGTTTCCTAAAACAAAATCTCAAATTTTAATATAAGTATATATATTAAGTAAAAAATAAAAATAAAAATTATACATTACATATGAAAAAAATATAATCGATAAATTTTGTTGGTTGCTTAACAATGTACACAGTGTGTATAAAAAGCAAATCTGATCTTGTTGCCATTCATTATATGAAACACAATCACTTAAATTAATTAACTTCTAAAATTAACAAAAATATAATATTAGTACATCAGTATACTTGTACATTTTAAGATATATTACTTGGATAGGACCAAAAATAGACTGGTGTGCTATTACTGGATTTTTTAATTGACTGATGAGATTTGACATAAATTTAAAAATTAATATTTTTGTTCCAATTAATTTTTCTTTTTCTGCCATTCCTGCTAACATACTGAATAAGTTGTTCTTTAGTATATACTCCATAATTGTATTAGTAGTATTTTCTTCATTTTTATCTTCAGACAGAATAATCTAAAACATATAATTGAAAAATGTTTTGCATTAATAATTGATAAAATTTGTAATCAATTGGACAATTAAATCCTTTAAATTATCTACGTAAGACATACCTATACCAATTGTGTTCAAATTAACTAGTATTTAAATACATTCTTACTTGCTGTACAATTTCCAGATGACCTGGGACATTAGTTTGGTCTATGTGTGTTTGAGAAAATTTTCCATCAGCAGTCCATTCTAAATAGTTGATCATAAATTTTTCCCAATGATAAATAAAATTTTCAAATGCTGGAGTCGGTGGAACAACCTGAAATAAATATTATTAGATTTAATAACTGTATAATCTAATCAATATATTATTTTCATTATAAATCAAATATTTAAATTTTATTTGATAATATAAATAGGAATAAAAGTATTGTCATATTTATCTAGCTTACTGTATCCACGACTGAATCCAAAATTGTATTTAAAACTGGTATCATTTTTGTTCTTAATTGATTTAAAACGAATATTTAATTTTTGGCAATACCACTTTTGATGATACTTAATTCATTATAACAACATTACAGTATTCTTATCAGTTTGTGCAACTAAAAATCATAATATGTGCATTGATTGATAACAGATATTTTTAGGTTATAAACATTTTTAATTGTTTGAATTCATAACAAGAATTCTATTGGAATTTTCTAACAATATTATTATAATAATCATATAATAATAATATATAAATAATATAATAATATAATCAATTTTATAGATTTTTTAAATATGCGGTTTTACAAATATTGTGACTTAGTTAATGCTAATACCAAATACGCTAATCGGATGAAAATGCTCAGCAATCGTATTTTTGGTGAGGTTGTTCGGCCAACTAATGAAAAATCGAAAAGGGTAATTTATTTTCAATTAACATTCTTAATACTATTTATTGTTTATTTTTATTATTTTCGTTTCAGGTAGTGGAAATGTTCAGTGAAGAACCATTGTACAAAAAACAAAACATTATCAACTACTATCCCCGACATATTGAAACTGGATTACTTATGAAGAAGCTTCGAGAATATGGTTTATTCAGAGATGAACATCAAGATTTTATCGATGAAATGAAAAGACTTAGAGCTCTCAGAGGAAAAGTATTTGTCAAAGGAGAGAAAAAACGGAAGGCCAAGAGTATTTTGTAATAATCATACACCAATACTTAAAAATTATATTTATTTATGTTTTCAATAAAAATTAACTTAGTGATAAATGTGTAGCTCTGCTTTAAAAAAGTCGAAAATAAATTTGTTAATGTTTATACTATATTATTGTTTTGTTACTTACATAATGAGGTTTTAACATTTCTTTTTTAAATTTAATTATTTTTCCAAAGTTTAAAAAAAATCATAGGTAATGTTATAAATATCTCAATTTTGTATTAATAAACACAATTCTGAATATGTATTTTGTAAACTTTTTTCAAAATAATATCGGATTTCTCTAGAATTTATTAAACGATTACAATATAAATGTTTTGCATATTAGAAAGTAAGTTGTCTGTTATAATATAAAAATATACCAAGCCAAATTGGGATGTTTATTTTAAATTGTAACACATTTGATACTGGTTTATTTTATCTATTAGTATCTTAATATTTTTAATGATTGACGGTGCTACCTGCTTTATAAAAAATTTATTTGTGACAGCTTCATAGGCTCTATAATTGCTTTATAAAAGAAGAAAAAAGAGGGAGCTAAATTAACTTGCACGCAAATGTGTGTAAGTATTTTCATTACTGCAATGACCGTACATCTTCTCAGTCTTTTGTTTTTTTTTTATTAAAAATAAAAAACTCGTCTCAAAATGGACTTTGACAGAATTTTAGTAGATTTTGGTGAATATGGAACGTACCAAAAACAGTTAATTTGGCTAATCGTTCTACCATGTGTTTTACCATGCGGATTTCATGCTTATAATCAACTATTTATGGCTTCCATTCCAGAACATTGGTGCAAAGATGAAAAGTTAGTATTTGTATATATTTACAAAAATACACAAATTTTGTTTAGTATTTAATTTTATACTTTTATAGTTTCAGTTACAATAATTATACATCTAAAAATAATAATCAGTGTTTGAACTCAATGAATAATACTTGTGAGGTTTGGGATTTTGATTATAGTCGATATTCATCTACGATTGTAACAGAAGTAAAGTTCAATTTCCATCTTTTTATGTTTAAAAATTTGTTTTATTTCTATACTTTTAGTTCCATTTTAATTGACTTAAATGTTTTTGGTAACAGTTGCACATCGTTGTCGGTTGGTAAACAGCTAATTTTCTTATTATTGAATTTTTATTTTGATAATTTGTGTATGTGGGTATCTAATAGGAAATAAGAATATTAGCATAAATAAGTTTCAACAAAAACAAATAGTTCAAAAATAGTAACTTGTAACCAAATTGATTTTTTAAATTGTTATCATTTTGATGATATTTCTTATATGTTTTCTGGTTATATAATTTATTTTACCTTGTTTAATCATACATATTTTATAAACCCACTTTGTTAATGAATGTTTTCTCGTATTAATTTATTTGTGAGTACATCCTAATTAAAAGACCCCTCTATTATAAACAGTAATTATTCAAACCTTTTGAGAGTCAATCATTATTTTTTCATTGTAATGATTGAATGAGTGTTTCAAATTATATTGTATGTATCTAAGACAAAATTAAGATAAATTAAAAATTTATAATGTTAGGAAATCATAATTAGCATTAATTCCCTTCATCTGCAATGGTATATTATTAATATATTCTATCGTTTTTATAGTTTTCAATAAATAAATATCTCCATAATCGGTGATTTCAGAGTTTTTCTTATTTTTTTATTTTAAATTTTAAGTTTACAAAATTGAATGTAAATAATGTATCATATTTTGTTTTAAACAAAAAAAATGGTAATTGAGTTTGTTAATTTTATATTAAGAGTTACTTAACACTAATCAGCTTTAAACAATTAGACATTTGATTAATACATACTTAATTTTAACTGTTTTTATCATCTCTATGAGTCAAAATATAATTGTTCATTGATAATTTTTAACCTTTTTCTGTTAAACAAAAGTAACAAGTTTACAATTATAAATTTATTTTATTTTAAAATAAACATTTTCGGTTTTTTAAAGTTCAAATTAGTATTAATAATCAGCAATTCATTTTCAATGATTAAAAAATAAAAATGTAAGAACAATATATTCATATATTTTCTTTAAAATGCATAAGATGTTTTTAATTTGAAAAACCTTGATATTTTTATACAATATTTAACGTTTACAAAACTTCTGATTTGTTTACAGTGTACCCACACAGCATTTTCTGTATTCAAAACATTAATTTAAAATACACTTACATATTTAATAATAAAGCTTTTAAATAAATAAATAATTGGGTAATTTAAATATTTCTATTTTAATTTAAAATATATGTTTAGGTAATGTCTGTTTTATTTTTTTTATCGAAAACAGAAGTAGGTAGTGAATTTCAATAGTGTATGTACTATTATCATGAATTATATACTATGAATTCAATACTATTATGAATGATTAACTAAAACTGAAATTTTACATTTTTTTTTTTTTGATAAAATTTGTAGTCTGCACATTTCAGAATAAGTAAATTTGATCGTAATGTACATTATTTTAAACTTACACAAAGAGGGAGACCTATCCATTGTTATAATAAAATATGATTAATAAATTATACCTATTACATATTTATTATAATTCTAACTTCACCTTAACTTATTAACTTAAATTCTTATTGTTTTTATTACAATTATGCTTTAATGTAGAAAAAGATTTGAATTCAAAAAAAGTATTTGATTTTTATACTAATTTTATGATTATTTTTCAGTGGAATTTAGTATGTTCAAAACAATTTTATCCAACTTTTGCTTTAGTAGTATTTGGCCTAAGTGGTTTGTTTGGTATGTTACTATTCGGATTTATTCAAGACGGGTCAGTATACATTATTTCCCATACTAACATAACAAATCGCTCATAAATATTTAAACTTTATTTTTACAGTGTTTTAAAAATATTTATATAAATTATTTAAAATTTTTATAAAAAGTATTTAAAAATTTAATTTCAGGAACACATTTGAAATGTATTCAAATATTTTCAACTATTATTGAAAAATAATATTATAAATTTATTCAAAAATTAGTTTTTTTGAGTATTTGTAAAAATTTCTTCTTCTTTCCTTCGCCTTTGTTCCAAATATTTAGGGTCGGCTACCATTGTCCTAAACTTCCACTCGATCGATTTTCTACATCCCCTATGCACCAATAGCCTTCACATCTTTCTCAATTGTGTGCTATCAGTGGCGTATTTTCAATTTTTTCTGGAGGGGGGGTCCACAGTTTATACATAATTTATATTAACTATATATTATATTGTACTAGTTACGTCCTTATTTAGTTTTTGGAGGAAGTTGAACTAAATATATAATGTAATAATCGTATAGTCTTATGTAATATTATATATATGTACCTATATATTGTATTTAGCATTATATATTATAAAGTATTGTTATAAAATAAATTCCAGTTGTCTCGATTTTTTGGCCAACTCCTCTATCACGTCATCAACAGTAATTTCAACTTCCCTGTGAATGTTTAACATACCCAATTCTGCAAATATGTAAGAATTGTTGTTAATTTTTTATTTTTTGGAGAGGTTCTGGGGGGGGTCCAGTACCCCTGTACCCCCCTCCCCCGTAAATAAGCCACTGTGTGCTATCATCTCTTTTTTGGTTTTCCTCTTTCTCTTTTCCCTTCAATGTTCATTTTTATAACTACTCTTACTGCTTTGTTTTCTTTCGCCTCACCACATGCCCAAACCATCTCAATCTATCTTCTCTCATCTAATCCGCTATTGACGCTACACCAATACTACCTCTCGAATATTCGTTCCTCATTTTATCTTATACTGTCACTAAGTATTTTATAGAAATATACTAATTAAAAATAGAGAGTATAAAACCAATAAAGTAATATGTAAAGTCAAAATATTTTTATTTTTTAAATATATTTATAATATATAAATTTTTTTTTAAATTATCTGTTGTAACAAGTGATTATTAAACACTAGAACACAAAGTGATAATTATATTATAATTTGGGTACCCAATCTTAAAAAAAAAAAGTCAAAGCTATTGCATTCAATATCGAAAAATTAATTCGATTTTCTACTCGAATAATCAAGAATAAAAGTAGGATAAATAGTATTAACACTGTAAAAAGTATTTTTTGACCAACTTCATACGTTTATAGTTTAAGTACACATCACGTTTGATATTTTTGCATATGTGTACAGGCTCGGTAGACGACCAGCGTTTTTCATATATTTACTGATCGAGTGTATATTCGGTGTGGCCACAGCATTCGCTCAGAATTTTTGGATGTGGTTGTTTTTCAGGATTGGAGTCGGATTTACTGTACCAGCGATCTTAGCAACGCCTAACGTACTGCGTAAGGCACACGTCGTTATAGTATTATTATTTCCATTATGATATGTTTGAAAAACTATGTTATTATACAGCCATTGAGTTTGTCGGCCCCGCTCATCGAACCACGTGCATTCTGCTCACCAACATTGCTCATTCCGTCGGCATGGTCATATTGTCATTGGTCTTGTATGCTTTTCGTGACTGGCGTCAGCTCGCTTTAGCTACATCCTTGCCGTTCACGGTTTACTTTCTTTACTGGTGGTGAGCACAATTATTATTTATACCAGGCATACGGATTTTCATCTGTGGTATTGGCGTACCTGATCTTCGATTTTATATTTAACGTTTTAAAAATTTCAAGTCTTTAATATAATCATATTTTTCCTTTTTTTTTGTTTGATGATTCAGGAGGTTCCCTGAGTCGCCGAGATGGCTGTTGGCGTGCGGACGGTTTGAAAAAGCCAAAAAAATTTTGCTAAAAATGGCAAAAGTGAACGGAAAGAATATTTCACCTGATTATATGGATCAATTAAAAGTAGGTGTATGTAATATATACATATATACCTATAATTTTTTATTATTTTGGGTTTTATCGGCTACTATCACCATACAAATATACCGTCAAACATTCAATTCTCCAATTATTTCTGTCAGTTGCTCTCGCTTTCCAATCGGATCCTCCTTTAAGAAATTCCTCATTCCTATTCACCACGCAGTGGCGTAGCCAAGGGGGGGGGTAAGGGGGCTATAGCCCCCCATGGGCCATGTTTATATGTATAGTATATCTATGTATTAAACTAGTATACTACTATTTTTATTTAAGTATTTTAAACTTTTGGTATTATCTAAATTTTGACGATTAACGAATACCAGGAGTTTTTCTTTGGCGTAGATATTACAGATTACTAATACTTCTAGTTTCTACCATGATCATCACTATCATAACCTTCTCATATCCTCTCTTACCTTACTTATCCAAAAAAGTGATTAGCCCCTCCCATTTAAACATCCTGGCTACGCCACTGTCACCACGTGTTCCCATCTCAGCCGAGGTCGTTCAAGGGACCAATATGTATAATAAGTAATAAGATCTAGCATATAGTAATGTGTTTTTGTTATTTTTATCATCGTCCAAAGATTAAGTACGAAGAGGAATTTAATAATCAGAAGAGTAAAACGGACGAGCAATACAACGTGTTTCATTTGTTTAAGACGCCAAACTTACGTTTTAAAACAATTGCAATCACATTTATATGGTACTATTTGATTTTTATAGAACATAGATTTTAATAATATTATGATATTTGCCGTTTCACATGCACTTGAAGGTTTGTCAACACAACCGTATACGTTGGACTTTCATATTATGCACCGGCCCTGAGTTCTGATGAGCATTTGAATTTTTTCCTGGCCGGAGCCGTCGAGTTGCCAACGTACATAATACTGTGGCCTGCGATGGAGAGATTCGGTAGAAAAAGTATATTGAACATTAGCATGTTGATCGGAGGTTGTGCTTGCCTGGCTGCCACTTGTTCCACACTAGGTATTCGCAAAACGATAAAAATAATTTCATAAATTACACACACACACACACACATACATGATGTATGATTAATATTACCGCTGTTTAACTGTATTGCAAATTACGTGTGAAAACCGTTTTGTTCCTCTATAATCCGTGTTGATGTGTAGACGAAAAGTGGACGTTGATAATGTTTTGTGTCGGCAAGATGGGAATATCGTCTTCCTACGTTATACTCTCTCTGTTTGCTCCAGAATTGTATCCGACTGTGGTCAGAGGTCTGGGAATGAGCGTCAGTTCAGTAGCTGGTATGATCGGACCCGTTGGACTTCCAATCATCAACTACGTGGTAAGTAACTGCAGCGATAATACATCGACTTGTTTGTCGTGGTGACTTTATTTTTATTTCCCAACTGCACGTGGAAAACTATATATATATATTTTTTAGTGTCCTATGTTTTTTTGCTTACACAGGGTACGGGTTCTCAGCTGTCACTTATTGTCATGGGCGTACTACAAATCGTTGGCGGTTTCGTTACGCTCCTTCTACCGGAAACGAAAAACTGTCATTTGCCGCAGACACTAGATGACGGAGAAAAGTACGCAAGCAACAAGTGAAGCTTATAATAACAAAATAGAATATAGCGCCTGTTCACGTGTACTGTCTATTATATTACACACACTTTTCTATACGTAGGTACATTGTGTTGTGTGGAACATTTAATTGTATGTATTTTAATAAGTTATCTATGTTATTTTGTAAAAAACCATTCATGTAATAAGTATTCATATGTATTCTAAGACTTTAAGTCGCTAATAGTTGTTTTCGACGAGAGTTCTGTAAGTATTCCCAAAACAGGTTTTTTGCTGTGAGTCAAAATCGCAATTTTATTAATTTGTATGTATTAATTATTTCGAATTTATTTCCAATCCTTCTCAAAATTAACCAGATCAGATAACGTATAACAATCAAAATGTGATTTAAAAAATATAATGGTTAATCAATTACATTATTAAACCCTCAACCTAAATCATATTCATTTTAAATTTTAGAAACCATAGATTATACCAAATTGCATATTATAGGATATTTTTCATCTTGTATTCTTTAGTGAGCACTTTTAACACTTGAAGTGTTCTATAAAATATTAAACCCTAAATGTACCTAGTTATCGAACTTAAAAAAATAACGTCGTATAGATAAAGTGCTTAAGTTCGATTAAGTTACTCGTGAAGTTGGATTCACTCTATAATAAATTCTGTAATTATATATTTTTTGTATGGAAATATAAATCGCTCTCAAGTCTTATTCTAATAGGCAGTAGGACTCAAATTAGGTAGCAATAAATTTGAAATGGGTTATAGGTTCTATAAACCTTGGTACTTTACAACAGTACACGTTATTTATTTAAAAATTGAAATGTAGAAATGCTATTTAGTTCTGTATAGTAATATTTTTGTACTTTCGTATTTATATTTACATAAAAATTACAATTTAAATTTTTATTTTGTTTTTTGAAAAAAAAAAAACCCGTTATTTTACGCTAAGTATCGTAAAATGACTTGCGATATCTTCATGATTTCCGGTACCCAACTTAGAAGTATTCACAATAAATAAATATATTTAATATAGATGAATTATCCGCTGTTGCCGGGCTTATATATTGTTGTTATCTGGCAACATTTAATATTGTCTGTTTAAATAAAATTTAAATAAGATTGTTTAAAAATATTTCATATACGAGTATATTAATTAGTTATTAAGTTGATTATTATTATTATTTGTTATATTTATTATAGCTTTTGGCAGTAGCTTCGCTTGTGCAAGTTAAGTAATTTACGGATGTTAACATTAATAAAAATAATAAATAAAGAAACATATTTCCCCTGACAAATTGTACCAAACTTTATCATTCGACTGATATTATTATATAAACACACAATATGTATATAGGCATACACTTTACATGAACAAATTTATTTTTGCCGATTTCAACCCCATTAAATCCTTTTTAAATAGTGAAATTATAATATTAATCTATCCTCAACATTTCAAGTCTATAACTATACTATAAATATATGTAATGTATATTAAACTCTGGGCTAGATTTTCGCCTAGGTATAGAAGTTGTTTAGAGCCTCGATCTTGAGGTCTTAACCTAACCCTTGACTAGTAAACTTTATTCAGCTTTTGGGAATAGGAAAAATTCTTAGAATAAGTCCTAAACGCACTTTGATAAAGTTATCTCTAAAGTAAATTGGATTCACTTTTTATTTATTATATTTATATTTATATTTATTTTATCATAGCAATTATTATGATAGTGCGGATCGTAAAGAAAACAAATATATTTGATCCATGCAGCACCATTCAAAACTGTGGACTTAATTTTAATTATTTATAAAATTAATTTAAATAATTTAATTTTCATGTGTACTAATTATAATTTAAAAATAAGTAGTTACTGCATGAAATCCAAATATTTATTATTTACCCAAAGTATTATATAACGAAAAGTTTTTTAATTATTAAATATTTACCTACCTAAATAGTTTTATTATACTTACTATTTTATTATAATATTATTCATTTGTGTTGAACTTATTGTACGAGAACAATTTTCAAAGTTCATCATAATTCCATTTTAAAATTAAATTGTATTAAAAAATAAATTCCATTTTGAAATAATGATTTCTATAAACCGTAGATTACATTTATTTTTATAAATAATAAAGATATTGGAAACATTTTGTTATTATTATTTTAGACCTATAAGTGTGCGTAATTAAATCTTATATCAACTACATAATTGGTTTAGTTCTGATTTGTTTCTATGTTATCAATGCTTCAAATAGCAAAGTTTCTAAAGTTGAAAGTATAATAATTAGTTATTGATTCATTTAATATTAAACTTTGTTCAAAACGGATGGGAATCATGGTTACGTTCTTGGTACTTGGAATAACAATATGTTCATTACTAATGAATAATTATCAACAAATAACGGAAATGATGAATTTAATAATTCAGGTAATTATAATAATCAGGGCTCATAAATTATAGCATTTACATATTTTTTTTTGAGAGGTTGTAGAAATACCTATGTAAGCTATACATTTGTTTTAGATTACTAAGAAGTTAAATACAAAATTTTATGTTGCATATTTTTGCATACTTCAAAGTATAAGTGCTATTTTGCAGACTTATTCTTGCATATTTAGAAAATTGTTATTCGGTATTTTGAATTTTTAAGTCTTTTTCAGTTCTGTAATGTTTAAAACATTTTTTCTTAATAATAACAAATAATTATGGTAGTATTAATTTTTTTTATTTGTAAGTAATTCATGTTAATCAACTAACTTCTTATTTTGGTTTAAATTATGTATTAATTCGTATCATATAGCGACGTAATCAGAATTTTAATAATAAGAGTTTAAATTTTTTTTATTATACATATGTTTTTTAAAATAATAAATGAAAATTGTTTATTTTTCATGTTATATTTATTTTTGCATGTTTTTGTATTTTTAGTGCATATTTAAGCTCTTATATGAATATTTTTAAGAGCATATTATAGAGCTTATAACTACTTTTTTTAAAGCTATAAGTTATGAGCCTTGATAAAAATAATTGAAAAAAAAATGTATAGATTAATCAATATCTACTTATATCAGAGCTAGTCAAATCGATAAAAGATAACAATAATTCTTATGAACAATTATTGATCATTTTACAATTTACCTAGTGAAAAAATACGTCTTCCATACACTGTTATCATAACACTTATAAACGTGTTTGATAAATATATAATATTTAGATATACACGTAGAAACGCAAAGTAATAGAAAGTTGTTTAATGAAAAATTATAAGCAAACAATTATTGGTATGAAATGAACTATAAATGACGAAAAAAATTGTGGTTTTTAATTAGGTACAGTAATATAACATTGAGTATCAGTTGTAGAAGCCAAAAATGAAAATTGGAAAGTAATGTCAATTTTTTTTATATTATTTATAGTATATACGAGATGATATATATATATATATATATATATATATATATATATATATATATATATATATATATATAAACAATTATAAATTATAATCAGGGACGGAATTAGGGGGTAGAAGACGGGGGATTCATCCCCGGGCGTAAATTATTAGAGGGTGTAATTTTTGTAATTATTGACAATTAATTTGATATTTTTAACATTGTTAAATACTGTTATTGGGTTAAAACTTAATAAGTATGATTGTATATTAATTATTGGAAAACAATAATAAGAATAACAAGAATTATTCTCGAGAAGAGTATTTGATTATTGGTCGTTAGTCGTTTTATAGGGCGTAATTTTAACATTTTCCCCGGGCGTAAAAATTCCTAGTTCCACCTCTGATTATAATATTAAATATTTAGTTTTAAAATTCATATTTTATTAAAATAACACTGATTATTACTCATTAATAATTAGTTAAAAGATTATAACTGATTTTTATAATAATATAAACTAATAGGTACATTTACAATTTTTATTAGATATGTATATACCTAAATAGTGTCACATAAACAAATATTTTAAATTATACAACGTAGTTAAGGTGTTTTTACCATTATAATGATTTAGTTGGTACCTGAAAACATTTGTATAAATATTTATCTTTAAATTGTTTTATCTAATATTCATAATAACTGTAATGTTATTCCGTTTTTTCTTGATACATTATCTCAAAATCTCTTATTATACAGTAATATATTTATTGAACACTCGCACTTAGTTATTAATCAACTGATTAGTATTTAGCTATAAACACAGTATACGTTTAAAAGACAAACTCTTGATTTAAATTTAATAGTTACATAAATCAATATCGTTTTTAGCTATAAACGGTGTATTCATATGTATATGCAAGGAAATATAAATTTCACCTAGATAAAGTTATCACTGAAGTAAAGCTATCTATTGATAATTCTCATTAGCCCATTCATTTCACTCACCGAGAACCGATCTATTGTACACACCTGTTATAGTTTGTATTTTAGCAATGATGGCGAGTAAGTGTATACACCATGATAATATATTTAACACTTTTGAACATAGTACAATCGCAACTAACAGAAATCATTTCGACATTTACCTTATGTAATTATAATTGAATCAATGTGTTGTGTTAGATTATAAAAAACAATGCGGACCTGGTTACAAAAGCCCGTTAGATGCATACAAAAACGGCAAACGAGAAACTATTCTGTACACAATCTGCATCCAACCAAATCCACAAATAAATAACAAACCAGATTATTTAGCTACCGTCGACGTGGACCCAGCCAGTTCTACGTATTGCCAAGTAATTATATTGCATTTTTCAACATTCTCATTTTCGCACAACGGCGTCTAAACTCTGGAGGGGGGAACCTATTTTATTTTATTTAATAAAAAAAGTTATATGATTGCTTGATTTCGAAAAGTTTATGATCTCCAATTTCAGACGGGTAAGGCTTTTATGTGTGCTCCTTAACGGATGCTTTTTAACACATCTTATTATTGCTCACGAGACTCAATCGAGATTTTCTTTGCGTAGGTAATTCACAGGACGAGCATGGAAAAATCTGGCGATGAGATTCATCATTTTGGATGGAACACTTGCAGTAGTTGTTATGACGATTGTACGAAAAGTCGCAATAAAATGATCTTGCCTTCTCTCGGTTCGGACCGCATTTATGTTTTGGATGTCACCGATGAAAAAGCCCCAAAGTTACACAAAGTAATGCATTTGATATAATTAACACTTGGTGTATTATATATTATATATTATTATGCAAACGAACCGAGTAGCGAACAATATGTTGATTCGAATTATCTTTTAGACCATTGAACCGAGCGAAGTGCATGGTTTCAACGTATCTGCTTTACATACAACACACTGTTTGCCCAACGGTGATGTAATGATTTCAACGATGGGCGACGCCCAGGGTAACGGGAAAGGTGATTTTCTTTTGATCGATGCCGAAAAAGGAATAGTCAAAGGTATATAATTAATATGTATTGCCGGTCAAGCTATATTATAATAAGTTCATGCTAAAGCCAAACAATTGGCGTAAAAAAAAAAAAAATTACCGTGTACGTTTTACTTATTTTGATTGCTATTTACTTTATATTACAATTTTATATCTGTTTAGGCACATGGACCAACGGTGAAACGGCAAAGTTTGGATACGACTTCTGGTATCAGCCGTACTGTGATGTTTTAGTATCATCTGAATGGGGCACACCTAAATATTTTAAAACGGGATTTCATCCCGAACATGTTAACGACATAGGTATTTCTGTTTAATCCATCATCTCTATTAAAATATATATGTACCATTCGTCTTCGTATCATTTCCAACTGTGTACCAATATCGACATTATCCATTTCATCTTCTTCTCTCTTTTTGTCTCTCTTATGTTCACGAATTTACTGTATCCTTATGTCTCCTGTCCGTATTCATAAAATTTTCTCAATCTTACACTCTAAAAGTTTTAGTAACAATTATTTAACCAAACTATCCTATACATTTTTATACGCAATATATGTCCATAAGCAATAACTTATATTTTTCACGCCAACTCGTATGGTATTTAGTTTTAATTGAATTTTTTTATGTTTTTTTATGATAGAAAAATACGGGCGTTCTTTAAACTTTTACTCTTGGTCCGAAAGGAAATTAATCCAGACTATTGATTTAGGCCAGGACGGTATAGCACCATTAGAAATACGGTTCTTGCACGATCCTAAAGCATCCGAAGGGTTTGTCGGCTGTGCCGTGAATAGTAGCATTTTTAGGTACCTAAATAACACGCAATGTGTATCTTGATTATTATGAAACATGACAATATAAAATAAATAATAGTAAACTAAACATTTTTAAAGATTTTTTCGAACTTCCGGTGGCACTTGGAATGCTGAAAAAGTGATATACATACCAAAGAAAACCGTGAAGGATATTAAAGGTATTCGCGTTGACAACTTCGAAGTTTCAGGTATACATCAATGTTGTTATAGATATATGTATTCAAAGGCGATTTGTAAATCTCTTCTTCTAGGATGATGCGCCGCTAAAAACAATGTTTACGGTACATTTTGGTTAAATAAATTAAAATATGTTGGGTATACCAGTAAATGTATGAATATATTTAGTGATACATAATTAATGTTTTAACGTTAAAGCAGTTATAATGTAAATTGAGCTTAGCCAGAACAATTTTTTCACGATAGATGATTGGTTTAAATTAATCTGCTCTGATAAGATGTAAATGTACAAGCCGCCTTTGTATGTATTTCTTAAACTTAATATTTAGAAAATTCTATCTCGTCAAATGATTTATAATATAAAAATATTCCATATATATATATATATATATATATATATACACACTGTTTAAGGCATGATTACGGATATTTTGATATCGTTGGATGACAGGTATCTATATTTTTCAAATTGGCTGCACGGAGACATCAGGCAATACGATATTACAAATACCAGTAAACCACGACTTGTTGGTCAAATATTTTTGGGCGGATTAGTGTTAAAAGACGGACCATTAGTTGTTATAGAAGACTCAGAATTAAAAGTAAAAATAGTCTCTATATATCGCTAAATGCCTGACTACGCGTGATGAAGAATAATTTATGATGAAATCGATCGTGTTTAAAGGAACAACCGGAAACTGTGTTCGTTAAGGAGAGATGTTTATATGGTTCACCTCAAATGCTCCAGTTGAGTTTAGACGGAAAAAGAATATATGTGACTACTTCTTTGTTTACACCATGGGATAAAGAGTTCTACCCAGAATGTGTCAAGTAAGTTGTACATTTTTTTGTATATTTTGTCTTATTATCTAATTATCTCTGTCTTATCTTATTGTATATTTTTGTTTACGGAACGATATTTTAAATGAAAAAATTACAGACATGGATCTACATTAGTTAAAATTGACGTGGACACTATTAATGGCGGATTAACCCTCGACCCAAACTTTTTAGTAGATTTCGGAAAAGAACCCGATGGTCCAATAATGGCACACGAAACACGGTAAGGTTATTGAATACCTAGTTATTCAAGGCTCATACAAATTTACCAAATACATGACTAAATAATGAGTTGCATGTTTATAATAAATCTATTAGATATGATGTGTAAAATAGTGACCTGCCCAGGCATTTCCTATGAGGGAAATGTTATCTGGTGGTGGAGTGGGAATTAAATCTAGACAAGGAAATAATAGTTCAACCTGGTAAATTTTAATAAGAACAAAAAAAAATGGTTTTCTCATTACACTCAAAACGTCACTTTTCTGATTTTTTTCTTATCATTATCCTAGTAATTGTAATTTAAAGTTAAAAGTACATTTTGATTTGTTACAAATTACTATTTTATTAATTTAATATGACTATATTATACGATCAGAAGCTACAAGAGTAGCTAGAGTAGCAAGAGTATCATCAGTTTCAAAAGACAAGGCCTTGTCGTAATAATCAATTTCTTCTATCACGTGCTGTAATTTTTAGTTGCTGGTATGACGTGAAACTCATTCGTTGCTTAATGTCGTTGAAGTACGATTGTCTGGGTCTTCCTCTTGGTCTTTTACCAAGATGTTCGTGACAAAATAATTATGTCATAACAGGAGTCCGATAAATTTTACTTTCCTTTTCGTAATAGTCGTAATTATGTTTCTTTTTTCACATATTTCTTGCAAAATAAAGTCATTCCTTTTCTTCTCTGTCCAGCTCGTTCTTGTTGTTCTCCTCCAAATCCACATCTTCATTGCTTTCAATCTTTTCATTTTATATTTCTTTAGGGTCCACGTTTCGCAGCTATATAGTAAAACACTCCAGATATATGTTTTTATGAAGCTCTTCCTACTTTGTATGCTCAAGTTCTCATTAGCCAGTAGAAATCTCTTTTTTTCGAATTCTTGCTTTGCTAGAGCTATTATTCTCTTGACTTCTTTTGTTGATCTATTATGTTTTGTAATTAGGTTTCCTAGGTAGTAAAATTTCTTTACTTGCTCAACTGCTTCACTCCTAATCTTAATGTTGGTTATATTTTGTTGGTCTGATTTGCTTACTATAAGCACTTTTGTTTTATTTATGTTGATTTTAAGATTGAATTTTGTTAGTGCTATGTCAAAGTAATTTAACATGAGGTTTAATTCCTCTGTAGATTCTGCTATTAGGGCAATGTCGTCAGCGAACCGGATCGAATGTATTTTCTGGCCGTTAATAGAGATGCCATTTGTGTTGATTTTCATTTTATTTATTGTTTCTTCAATGAATAGATTAAAAAAAGTAGGGTAAGAGTGGACATCCTTGTCTCACTTCTTGTCTTATTTTTGCTTCTTCTTTATGACCATTGACTTCTATTACTGTCGCTTGATTTTTATATAAATTAAAGATGAATTTCCTATCTTTTCAATATATACCAGCGTTTTGGAGGCTCATAAATAGTAGATTCCAGTCTATTTTATCGAAAGCTTTTTCGAGGTCTACGAAGGCCACGTGAGTGCTTTTATCCATTTCTATTCTTCTTTTCATGATTTCTCTTAGAGACACTATTGCTTCTCTTGTACCTCTTCCGTTTCTATAACCAAATTGGTCTTCGTCAATTCTTTCATCGATCTTTTTTTTTAATTATGTTTTTTACAATGTTTAACAGTATCTTGGATGGTTGTGATAGGAGAGCAATTGTTCTGTAATTCAAATAAACAGAGAAATTTTCTTTTTTCGGTAATTTTATTGTTTTACTATGAGTAAAATCAGTAGGGATTACACCGTTTTCGTACGCGTCATTAAGAATTTTGAATAGGAAGTTTTTTGTGTCTTCATCCAAATTTTTTATTATTTCTGTTGGGGTTTTATCTATACCGGTTGCTTTCTTATCACTTAGTTCCCTTGATGCTCGTTCAAATTCTTCTGTCAAGATACATGGTCCATTTGCATCAGTATTGACATCCTCTTTTTTTTTCAATATACATGCTTCCTTCGAATTCTTCTCATTCATATAACTTTTCAATATATACCTTCCACCTTTTCGCTATTTCCTCATTATCAATTAAGATTTTACCTTCTTTGTTTTTTTTACAATGGAGCATCTTGTTCTGGAATTGTACTGCAGTTTCTTCACTATTGCGTGTACACCGTCATATTTTTACTTATATCTCCCATCTATTGTTCTTTTGCCTTCCTGCATCTTGTTGTTATTATGTTTTTAACTGTTTATATTTATCTACGTCTCTTTTTCTCCAAAAATTCCTTTCTTTGACTTTGTCTAATATTTCTCGAGTCATCCATTTTTTCTTGGGTTCTAGCACAATTTTTCCGATTATTTTGTCTGACACTTTGTGTAAAGTGGTTTCAGTTCTTCCCATATCTTCAATTCGTGTTTTCTATGTTTTATTAACAAGAGTATAGCTACTCATTTATAAGTACTCTATCAAACATTTTATTGATTAAATTATTTTTTTAATTTTTTAATTAAAATGCAAAACAATTGATAAAATCAAATATTTAAACACTCAATTATTCTAGATAGAAATTTAAATATCTAGCTTTTGCACTCAGTTCATTTAGAACATCATCAGTCTTCAACTGTATATTTCGATGGATGTTCATTAGGGATAATCCATTAAACTTACTGTTTGATCAATTTTAGTTTTTTTTGGAAAAATATGACTCAATTGTTTCGTCACGTTTTGATATAATAAAAACTTAAACTTAAGTAAACAAATTTAAAGCACTTAAATATGTAGTATGTAAAAGATATCTAATAATTTCATCAGACTACAATTTATAGGATTAACTTATTAAATTAATATAATTCATATAATATATACATTAATTTTAACAATTAACAAATCCCTCGCTGATTATATTTTATAACACATTGATAAACTGAACTTATCCATTTGGATAATTAGTTTTTTGGTGGTTAGTTAATAGAGTAACAATAAAAATATTGAATACTTCAATTCATTTATAATTCGTATAATCGTACAATCATAATTTATGTTTGATTGCTTATCTTAATTTTCATGAAACGATGGCTATAGAATATACTAGACGTGCTTTATATTAAATGATAAATATTATATTTATTTTACGTAATAGAATAAAATAATAGTATTACATTTTATGAAATTACGCATTGTAGGTATAGCAAAACAAATTAGTAAATCCCACAGGGGAAAAAGAATCAATGGGGGGGATATAACCCCTAACCACGCCTCCTGGGCACGCTACTGATGTTAACACTTAATTATTCTCTGAAAATTTGAAAATGATTAATGCCATCAGTGATTATAATTATTCATAATGATGAGCTAGTAAATATATTATTTATTTGGTTTTTTATTATTATTTAGGTATCCCGGAGGTGACTGTACGTCAGATATTTGGTTAGCTGAAGATTAGCGATCCTGCAACAAATAATGTATTGTATAATACCCGCAAATAATAATTTCACTAAAAAAAAAACGGATTATTTAGTTTACATAGCAATGGGCTCTAATTAGTATCTTAATTATTACGAAATTGATTATACTATATTTAGGTAAAATGTAATATACACATTAATGCACTTATCGTTGTTAGTTTTAAATACTTTTTTATTTTCATTTTTTATTTATTTTAACAATATCTATAGTTAGAAATATAATTTACTAATTTTAATTATTATTTTTCACCGCCTACCGTTTCACAGATAATATGAAAAATAATATAATCTGTGATAATATTGTCTTCGTATTCTGTTGACGATTGCGCACGCGGTGTGTGTCGTTTCACAGAAACGCACGTGTAGTGTTATTTATACATGTTATAATCATCGACATCGTCATTGGACGGAGATTTCGTTTGGGATATATATGGTCTATCTATATTTACCTATATTTACGTACAAAAAGAGTTCAATGGCACGAGAGGTCATTTTTCTTTTTTGTATACAATTTAGTTTCTAAGGAGATCACATCGTCAAGTGTTTACTTTCATCCAGTCCAGGATTACAGACCTGTAGGTATGCCGTGCATTATAATTTGTGCTTACTTGGTGTATTGTAACAATTTTCAGATTTTGTTTTGTTTTCAAAATTGTTTTGCACTAACCGACATAATAACTCGACAGTATATATTATGTATTTGTTTATCAAATAATATACCGTTAAATATGTTGCATTGTGTTGTTGATAAACAATAACGAGAATTGAGTGATGAGTTTAGTTATTATGGAATCCTAACCTTATTTCGGAAGTATAGAATTTAGAGGAAGATGAGATTTATAGAGGATACGAGTTGGAAAAAAAAATATTAAACATTAGTATGGTTTTTAGGTAAATTGATTAAA